TGTCTGCTCTTTAATGAGAAACAGAAAGCAGAAAAGTAATGATCATCTTCAAGCCTAATTAAAATACTGAAAAAAATCAGAGTTTTCCAAGAAAAAAAAAATCCTAACTTTCTGGAAATCACTGTGGAGAGACAGGCAGACGTGTCCCATGTTGGTTCCCATTAGGTGAATAGCTTTCCATGTTTGCTTGGGAATACAAACTCTTTCTGTGCATGTTGTCTCCGTTTTCACTGTCCGTATTTTATAATATACAATTACTGTGAGATGAAACAACAACACACAGTCGTGCTGCCATAAATTCTTAAATGGCAACTCCCCAAATTGGTGTGTTTCTCTCCTTCAGTATGGCTTCACAATAATCACTGGTAATGACTACAGTGCAGTATAAATGCCACCAAGTAGTTTGTTGAGCCCGTTGACTTTTTAGGGGGTTGAGAATGTATGAGGAAAAACATGTCACCTTTCAACAACTGAAGTACGTTTTGTTCTTGGCTAAATGCTTTTAAATAACCATGACATCCTTGTCAGCATTTGCAGTACTTTGAAGGGCAGAATTTTCCCCATAATGCTTTATCAAATTCTTCTTTCGCTTTGTTTGTTATCAGATGTAAGATATCTGCAATTAATTATTAACTTTAAATGATTTATCCTAATCTGTTCAGTATTGCAGCCTGGCTTTTATAGCTGAAATACTGTTTTGTTTATCCCAGCTCCCTCGCCCTCTGGGAGGATATTTTCATGCCTGTGACAACTTCGGAGCAGATTCGGATTGGGATTTTCTGTGGATTGTGAATAGCCACTTCAGTCAGGCAGCCTATACCTTTTTAAGGAATGGTATTAAGTGTGGAGGCAGATGGTCCCTGAGGGAGCTCCCTCAGCATTGTGCCTGGAGCAGCTCCCGCTGCTCCCTTTTATGGGGAGTCCTGGACTGCTCGTGTTCGAGGAGTATGTCTGTGACTCTCCAGCAGGCCCTCCACAGAGGGGCAAAGGTTTCATCAGTCTTTGGGAAACATTCCAGCCTCAGGAAGGTTGCTTTCCCCATTAGACTGACCCAGGTCTGCATAATGAAGAGCCAAAGCTGCAGGGCCTCTCTGCCATGAGCAGAACTAAGAAGCCTGACCCTCAGGGGCAGCTAGCTGGAAGCTGTTTGAAGATGGAGAAAAGAAATATTTCAGGACCCTTCTGTAATGCAGAAGTCTTCCTAAGAGCCAAATCTTTCTTCTCCTTGGAGAAATTGTCTTGTTATTGTAAGCATGCTTGGTACTTGTCCTGTAAGTGTGAGATCATCTACCACCATGTTAAGGAAAAAAAAGTAGGGATCCTTAGTAATGAGGAGGGCAACCAGTAAGGTGTTACCTTTTTATTGTTACCTATGCTTGAAATTTCCCTGAAGGAAGATGTGGGAAAGAATCATTACTTAGCAAACCGGTCGAACAGGAAGGAAGGCTTCTGATGAACAGGTTACGCCCACTTGATATTGAAAGCACGTAGGTCATCGAGCATGACTGTGAGCAGGAAGAAATAGGCGACTGTATGTTCTTCCAACAAATTATGTGTTTCAGGTAAGAGGTTGCGACAGGTATTCTTACCGGTTAGCAAATGGTCCGGTAGTGTATTTCTGGGTTCCAGTAAAATGAGAAGACAGAGCCCACAGTGCACAGAGCTTCACTATTAGAATGCCTGTGTGTGCTGGAGGAAGAAGTGTTTCTGTATACTTGGACATCAGCTCTTGTGTTGGGACCATTGTGCAAGGCTGTCAAGTTATTTGGTTTGTATGAAAAGTTTTACAGTGTGATGGGATTGTCTCTTAAAGTCCCAGATGCCAGAATTATAAGATTATGGGAAAACAGCAGTTGTATTTAAAAGAAAAAGGAAATCTTCATAGTTACAGGGGAAGGGGAAAAAAAGAAAAAAGAGGAAAAAAAGAAAAGAACTCCAAAGTTTGAGTTCACAAACCATGAGGCAGAGAAAATGGACCTTGAAGCTTTTTTTAAAAAAAAAAATGGGATTTAAAATATTTTTTATTAAAATTTTGGCCTTATTCATCAATTTAAAATCTTAGAGGTTGTCAATGCCCTTTAAGTCAATCAAATGCAACAATAGTGGCTGGCAAAGAGCCAAATCCTTTCTTGAAGTTTAGGCGGTGTTTCAGGAAAGATGGGGAGTTGGCCCAAATACAGAGCCTAATCTTACTAACAGCATAACAAGTGAGTCTTGCAACAGAGGAATTTTAAACATGATGTGCTGAGTCCAAGTGGTTAATTTTAGATATATACCTATATAATAGAGACTTTGTACTCCAAGCAATGCTATACGTTGTCTCTGCTGTTTAACTGGACCTCCCTTTACAGTGGTCTGGACTCAGAGAGCGAGCCTGCTGTGTTACGTGGTCATATCATGGGGACCTCTCTTTCACTGAAAAAAACAGGAGAGTGGAATACACAGACCACACTCTTGACCACCCTCTTTCCAGCCTTTGGCACTGTACCTGACCTTAAAAAAAAATTTAGAGAAGCAAAAGTTCTGAAAAGTATGGAAAGTACAGGAGATAAACATTCGTACATAGATATATAGAGGCAATGTGTGTGTGTGTGTGAACATTTGTCACATGTGATGTTACGCATAAAAGACTTAGTCGTGTAATAAGCAGGACTAGCTATCAGGTCTTTTTAATATCATTATAGTATTACAGAACTCGTTTAAACTGTAAAAGAACATATTTTAGAAACAGTTGGAAGTGTATTCAAAGTATTGTGTTTTCTGTATCCTCTGTTTTGTTTTCTGTGCAGCCACTGCTTTTTAAGGAAGGTGAGGCTGGAGGGAGAGATCATTCTTTTCTCTTTTATTTTTCCTGAAACATTCCAATTTTCAAGGAGAAAAAAATAAAGTAAAAAATTCTCTTTTAGGATAATGGAAATATTCTTTTTCCTTTTCTTTCTCTTATACATCTGCTTCAGAAATGGGGAGTAGAGGAAGTTGTAGATTAGGCCAATTTAGTTTAAAAAAGAAGTTAATTCAATGTTTATTATCTTTTTTTCTGCAAAAGAAAGGGTGTCATCTTGGTCCAAAAAATGGGTGAAATGCAGGATTCACTCTGAGAGAAATGTGTAGGAATTGGCTTATAATTTGTAGGAGAAGTCCATTGGGTAGGGCCTCGGCCTGAGTGCTGTGTGTCATTTTGGTTATCTGGCTTAGTGTAATTTCACAAATACTTTTTTCAACACAGCCAAAGCAAACTGAAGCCTGCATCATGTGAAATCAGAGTAGAGTTCTTGAAAGAACAGATGGGAATAACTTGGAGAGTTAACTTCAGCCTATTTAACATTTCATTTCTCTTTCCTGACTGCTAGGAGCCTATGTCACCTGAAGCTTGATTTCAAATAAAACAAAAGTACATAAAGCTGTGGTGAATACCTTCTGCTGTAATATAGATTTTCATTGTAAGGCTCTATTATCTAAGCTAACATATATGAGGACATATTGGAAAAGCTATTTGTGATATCTGTAACTGTAATATCTGAGAGCACTTTTCATCTCAGTAGTATTCTGTTTCTGTGCTAGGGAATGCATTTTTTTACTAAATTATTAAATCAGATGTTACTTTCATGTGGTAAAGTCCTCAGCATAGTTGTGTATGTTGTGTGGTATTGTTGTTTGGTGCCTTTTCTGTTTTTAGGTTACATCTGTGCTAGTAAATTTAAGAGGTCAGGGCCTTGGGGGAAGCAACACTGAATTGATCATGTCCATAGAGCTCAACTCTCTTCCTCGAAAAGGTAGCCTCATGCCTACTGGGAGTAGTGTCCAGTACGTGCTGTCCATCTGAATCATGCCCAGGAGAGCACGACCTGGCAAATGCCAAAATCATATGAGGGAGCATGCTTATAGCAGCATGAATGATGCTAAATCACTGCAGGAGTTCGTACCTTGTTCTGTTAATTTAATAACAGAGAGATAACTTCAGGCTTTGAAGAAATATTGGTTTTATAAAAAGAAAAAAAATGCAGAAATTGGCTTATTTTTTGTTTTGATTTGTATGCCATGTGCAAGGTTCCTGGGCGTTCTTTGAATACTAAGTGGAGAGGCAAGTCTCCTCTGTTGCATCCCGGTTCTTTTACCTTCTTAACCTCTTTCTTCACCTGACTGCACTAGGATAAAAAGAATATGAGGAAGTTTTTACAGGCACAGAAAAGACAAAATATGAGGAAGGTTTTACAGGCACAGAAAAGACAAGGGGACATGAATAAAACTTCAGCTAAGGTGACATTCAGTAAGGAGCTTTGCTACATGTCTCTTTTAGAATCTTAGAGCGTGTGCTGTACCGGTGTAACATAATGCAAATAATAAAGAAATTGTTTCTTTAATGATCATGAGGGTTAGTATTTTTGTTCAATTGTTCCAAGCACCCTGTCAATATTATTTAGAAAGCAGGATGGGGGTGAGGTAATTTTAAGGCTGAAAATAAGGATTGGGTGAAAAAATGTTTATTCTTCAGATAAAGAAAATCTTTACACCCTGTGGAGAAAGCTCTGAAGTGAAGAATTGAAAACTTTCTAGATATTTATTGGTTTAACTGTTATTCTCCTCTTTGTTTCAGTGTGAGTATGTAGCTCCAGTTCTGAAGCATTACCAACTTGATCCTGGAACCACTGCAGAACTCCCCTGAGGACAAACGAGACTGAAGAAGAGAATCAGCCATGGCATACTTGGGGAGAGCGCCCTTCTCGCAGCATGGATTTCATGATGGACATGCTAACAACCAAACTTCTTATTCACCGTTCCATTCTGGTTCTGCTGGACAGGTCAGACTAGGATTTGATCAAATAGCTGATGAAGTTAGCAATGAAATATATTTTTATGGCTCATCACATTTGCATTATCCTGAAGAAAATTTTTTCGTGGCGGACATCTTTGGTTTGAATGTGACAGAGCAACCTCCACTTCATGCTGGATATCCTTCGTCTCATTGGCAGCAAGACACAGCATCACCAGTGATTGGCTTTAGACCTTCTTTCCTGCCCAATGACAGAAATTTCTCTATGGTGGATTCCTACCCGTATAGTGAAGAAAGAGAAATCTACAGAAGGAATAGTGTCTTTCCAGCTGCAAATGTATTTGATTCTAATGTGGAGAGAGGCAACAAAAATCTGCATTTTCAGATAGGCTTTGACAATGTAGATGCTCAATATCCTGTCTTTTTAGGCAACTATCCATTTGGACAAGGACTGAGAGATGAAAGTGGAAATGGTGAAGCTTGTTTAACCAACACCTCAGGAAGATTAAACATAGGACCCGTATGGCCCAGTGACTCTGGACAGGACAGAGAGGTATTTACATTTTTTGATCTTAATAGCATTTAAAGTTCTTCATCCTAGTTGCCCATGTCTTTGCACTTTGTGTATTTACTCACACTGATGCAACATGGATTAGAAACACTTCATGTAAGGAACTGAAGAAAGAGAAAGCATTAATAGCTTAGGGAATTAAACCTTTTGTCCTGTAGAAAGCTTTTGTCCTATAGCTTTTGATTCAACTGACCAAAAGCAGCTGTGAGACATCGTATTAATTCAGTGGTCTTTGAATTTGCTCTTTGCTCCCTCCAGAGATACAGAGATCCAAGAAAGGGACAGGTGTGTTTTCAATGAATTGTGCAACTTCTGATTCCTTAGCAGTCAGTATTTCCCGTAGTATTTGTATATGTGTACAAGGAGGATGCCCTCAGACAAACAGTACATGATTAGTAAGAGAGATTTATGCACCATGAAAACTTTCAAACATCCTCTTTACTTGATTCTAATATCGTAAGAGAACCCAGCAGACCATAAAAAATCACTTTTGAAAGGAAGATGCCTACTCTGTCTAGCTAATGAGGACTTTTTACTGGCAGAATCTGTGTTCTATCTGATTCATGTTTTACCCAATTTACGTTTGAAGTCTCAACACATCTCTGTCATCTACCCATGAAAAAGACTTTACTTCATTTTGAAGTACTCGAGCCAGTTCCTCACCTTGTATAAAATGGAACATTTTCATTTTCTGTAATAGCAACTTGCCAATTTACACCATCTGAGAATCTAGATTGTGGTCTAGAATGCTCTAGTAGTTTAGGATATAATCAGTAATGTGCATTTTAGCCATTACAATTAGTTGGCTCATTGAACCATAAAGCCACAACAGAGGATGGACAGAAATGTGAGTGTTTGAAAGAGATGTATAACATCTCTATGATCTGATATAAAACCTGAGATTCAAAATAACAATATACTATGCTGGATCTGTTTTTTCTGTTGAAGCACATAATTTTCTGTGTGTCTGGTGTGCCTGACATATCCTTATCCTGAGGGAGATGACATACTGTGACCTGCCTTCACCCTGTTATGCTTGCACTTATGTGTGCATTTATCATTCTCTTTTTAAAAATAAATATGCCTGCTGAAGCTGTGGAAGCTGAATCCTATAGTATGCACTCTTTCTTTAGCTGTCTTTCTGAAGCAAATACTTTTATCATCCCCCCCACCTCTCTTTTACCAGTTGTCCATGGCTCATTTTCTGGCTTTGCAGTTCTTATTAACCACGTCTTCCAGGACTCCACATACCTTTCTGATATTATATTTCTCCACATTTTTTCTCTTCTTTCAAAATCCTGACGGAGGGAAAGAAAAAGAAAAATGATAAAACCTTTTTCCTCTTGTCCTTGCTAGCATCCTAAATCATTATAGGAATCCTTAAATAGGCTATAGGATACCTCTGCAGCATGAATACTAAAAGACATTTTTTAGCTCACCTTCTGCTTTTACCTCCCAGAGATCACAGCATCTTAAAGCAAGGGGGAAGAGACATTTGATTGACTTGCTTCTGTGGCTAGGGAGACCTGCAGATGTAAACACATGCAAACCTAGGCAGATGGCGAGTGTGGGAAGAATATATCTGAGGAGAGGAACTCTTGAGACTAAATTTAGACATGATATTTTGTAAGTTTAGTGATGAATATGGGAAAAAGAGGGGATTATTAGGTGGAAAGACAAGCTGGGTCATATGTGTTTTGATTCAGGTGGGAATGGTTTAGGTGGGTTTTTTTGTTTTTTTTTTGTTGTTGTTCTTAACTCATGATAGGAAAACTAGAGCATGCTGACATCACAGTGAAAAGAACACAAACTTTTAAGGAGAAGCATATAAAATATTGGGGTATAAATGATCAGGAAGAGATTAGGTTATAGCATGGGATGAAGAGAGACTACAGGAACAGGCACAAATGTTTCTGTGACAGGAGGAGAGAATTACAAGGGAGGGAAGAAAGGAAACTACAATTGAATATGTGGGAGGATTTGATTAAGTTGGGGAAATATTCAAGGTTTTTAGCTAGAGCTGGGAGAAATGGGGAAAAAGGAGAGAATTAATTTGTAGCAGAAAAATCTGTGTAGTCACAGGAATTCTTTCACAGTGGGACGACCATAGCAGGTCAGAAAGCAGACAAGGCAATGTGCTGGCAAGTGAGCTTAGAGACAGTTAGAGAGGGAAGCACGAAAAAACTACTGGGCTGGAAGTTTTGTAAAAGATTAGAGAGGCTGGGAGGGACAGGGTTTGTGCTGAGTTTGACCATCAAAATGGCTGGAAAAGTGGATCACAGAAACAGGAGAGTAAGCAGAGACTCATGAAGCCCAGGTCAGTGGATGATGTATCTGAATAATAGAAGATGTGAACCACAGCTGTAGACTTGGTGAAGCAAAATGCTGAAACATGGAGCTTAGCATTCAGATAGGTTGTAATTATGCAAGCTGAAATAGTCACACTAATGAAATCAAGATATAGGGAATACGTGTTTACATTAGGGAATACATATAGGGAATGCAGTTGTATGACCCCAGGCTTTATTTAATACACACTGTTCAAAATATGTCCCATGAAATAAGGCAACCTCATTAATTTTCCATAGGCTTGTTACTATCAGATCAGATGGTCCAAAAACATTAAGAAACTGTCTTTGTAACATCTTTGTGAGAAGAGGTATTTTTTCTCTGTATTAGAGAGAGAAATAAAACATAGCCTAAAAAGTATCCAGTAGCTTTGACAGCTCCATCTAACATATTGAGGATGTAGTATTTTCAGAATAGGTAGCAAAATCCGTTTCCTCACAGAAGTCTTTCAATTACTGGCTTCTGTTGCTGCAGTGAGTAGTCATCATGCTGAGCTTCAGGATTTCAGATTGGGCACTCCACAAATGAGGAAGGCACAATTACTGCCCATACTTTGGAGACATGGTTCAGGAGACTTGATTAGCACCACGTAAGAAATCTGTGGATGGGCCAAAGAGAGATTCCGGTAGTCAAGGGCTGCGCTCTGCTGCTTTATCCCCGACATCATCAGTTCTGTCTATATGCAGGTCTCTGTCTCGCTCACTGCACACTTTGCACACTTTTCATTTCTTTCAAACAGATAAGAGACTAGGATCCTGTAGAAAAATAATGAGTACTTATGCAATTAGTTTTTTACCTTTACGCACAATGGGAAGGTGGCTTCAGGACACGTGAAAACAGTAATGGCAAAACCAAATCTCCATTTATTATAACTTTATGATTCATTAGCAGAGTTGGAGGTGTATGTCTGTGAAGTATATCTCTCCTATCAGGACTGATTTGAGTTGTGATTAGCTGTGGCATATAATGTTCTCTGTATAGAGTTCCACTGGTCTATAGGATGCCTGTTTGTCATGGGGACTCGCTGAAAACCACTAGCAGCAAAAACGAAGTGAGACAGACAACTCCTGTGTTCAGATGCATCTCCTGCAGGAGAGGGTCAGGATTCCTGTATCGTCTCTCTCAAGCCGCTTTTCCTATTGCTTAATATTTACTTAATCGTGTCCTCATTTCAAGCTATGGATTTCAGGTTACATACCTATCTCCTCTCAGCCAATCTACCTTTCCTTTCCTGCTTTCTGGCCTTCTCCTTGCTTAATCCCTTTCTGTTCCTCATTCCTCAGCTCCCAGTTGCAGTTTTCCTCTCCTCACACATGTATCTTCCGCATCACATTTGATATCTTGTCCCAACCTCATCTTTCCTGGCCCCCTTTTTTTTCCTCATTTATTCACTGTTCTCTTTCCCATGATATATGGATAAATTTGGAAAATCTTTAATGCAAAGAGCAGAAAAAAAAAACACAACAAAAGACCATTTTTCCCCAGATTTCAAGCTGCTTGTGTGATTACTTATCAGCTAGCTGTTGCTAGCTGAGTATTAAAGCCAGCCTAGTATCAAAGACTTTTGTTATTTGTGGTTATTGTGTTTTTCCTTTAATTTGTTTTCAAAAGCATCTGACTCAAATTCATAAAATAGGACTATTTAAAATTATTTTTAAGGTGGATGCAAGCATGTAGTATGGGCCATTTCTATGAGAATGGTTGGAAGTTGGCAAGATAAAAAGAAAAAAAAAGAACAGTTGTAATAACTCAGCTACATGAGTAAAAGCTGGTAGTTTTTACTCACTGTACAGTATTCTTCTATTACTGTTAGTCCAAATTTTTATGATTTTCTGCATATTTTTTTCAAAGACCAGTGGAAAAAATAAGAGGTTTTCCACCATGAGGCTGATCAGGAGACTATTCTGGAAAATGGTAATAGCTACGATGATTAGAAATGGTTTTCCAATTTCTAGCTGAAACAGGCAGTTTGCAAATTTTCTTCATATGTGATGTCTACTGAGTAGATGGAGTAGCTCTTGATATTTCTGTAGAGTCTGGCAGAACCAGCCCAGCTCCTTCATCCTATCCTCAAGGGCAGGTGCTCCAGCCCTGACCATAGCAGTGCCCCTCTGCTCAATGCATGCTGGTTCATCGATACCTTGTATATTGGTGGACCCAAAAATGGACTCAGTACCGGGGGGGGACGAGGTAAAGGAGGATGATCTGTCTCCACGGCCTGTTTCTTGTGCCTGTGCTCACATAGCCCAGGAGGCTGTTGGCCACCTCTGCTAGGTGTTGCTCAGCTCACTGCCTGCTGTGGCCCCCACAGAGCTGCCTCCCAGCAGCCAGGCCCAGCCTGTGTCATTGTAGGGGTTCATCCTTCTCAGGGACAGTGCTTGGCCTTCTGCCTTGCAGAGTTCATAAGATTTAAGTTTGTCCATCCTTCTGGCCTGTCGAGACTCCTCTTAATGGCAGGGACCTCTTAATGACCTTCAGGTATATTGATCGGTCCTGGACTGGTACAAATTGAGTCTCTAAATTAATTCCTGACTTGATCCCCATCCACTGCTGGTAGCTCCTCTCCACCTTGAACCCTGACTCTAGGCCCAAAGACCTAAGAGAACTCGTTAGTGAAGACTGAGGTAAAGAAGCCATTGAGGACATTTGGCACTGAACACCTGGTGCTCTTGTTCCTCTTGTTCAGGACCTTATCTCCTGGAGCTTCTTCACCTGGCAGATCAGCACCACAACCAGAGCCCAGCTCCCATTGGTGAGGCCACTGCTGTCACCACCCCACAGAGGAGGCACCAGGTGCTCACTGCAGACCTGGACCGGGGCATCCTTCGTGAAGCCTCTGCCATGTCAAGGACAGCTCTTACAGTGCATGAGGAAGACTGTGCCCTATGACAGCTCATCACCAGCCAGTCTCCTGGGCTCTCTTTGCGCCCTTACTGCAGCAACTGCTCTAACTTTCTTAGCTGTCTGTGCTGTTCCCAGAGAGCTGTCCTCCTGCTACAGGTTAGTGTTCCTTCACAAGTGGCAGCAATGCCTCTTGGCACTTTTTCTAGTTTAATTCCTTATCTGGAATATAAATGACATGTATTACACACAACATCCCACATGAAGACTTTCTAGAGCCTTGTAAAAATATCTTTTTGTGGAAGTATCTATCCTGATATGTGTGTGACCAGGAACATGAGTGTTTTTGTTTAATTTTGTTGTGAGCCCATTCATGTTATCAAATAAGTTATCACTTCTGAACATTGAGCCTCCATTAGAAAATGTTTTAGAGCCTACTGTAGGTGTGTGTAACAAGGCTGAAAAAAGTAAAACAGTAGAGTTCCCATTTTCTCCAGTGACCACTGAAGGACCTTTCATAAATAACTTCTAGGCAGTTCTTAGCATCAGGGATTTACAGCCTATGACTTTCTATTACTGAATTTAATTTCATACTATTATTTCAACCCTCAGGGTTATCCACTGTTTTTCCTACCAGCCATTCCAATTTTTCCTTGTGTTGCCTCCTTATTGTCTTTAACATTCATTAGTGCTCTCTCAAAGCTTATCCTATTATGGTTAATGAAAATGTTAGATAAAATTAGTATCAAGAATGAAGGATATATATATATAAAAGATATATGTATATAAAAGATATGCAACCTCATTCAAAAGTGACAGGCTTTTGACACCATCCCTCACAACACCCTCCTGGACAAGCTCCAGAAGTGTGGGATAGATGAGTGCACAGTGAGGTGGATTAGGAACTGGCTGGATGGCAGGGCCCAGAGAGTGGTGATCAGCAGTGCAGAGTCTAGTTGGAGGCCTGTAGCTAGAGGGGT